TGCGGCTAACTCCCCCTCAGTTAAAGGACATGACAATTTTTACAGACCCAAAGTATTCTTAATATGAAACAGTAAATCATACAATGTATGGCTATATTATTTTATGTTTTGCTAGAACTGCACCTTAGAAGTCAAGTTTTTTTCACTGAAAACAAACTCCTTATTTCGCACACCATGGACCAAGCAAAAGATCAAAACAAAGCCAATAATGACCGCAAAAGAAGGGGCTTGGGTTAGGTTTTTTCCTGCCTTTCGGGGTTTTTGACGGCGCTGGAGATGTGCTTTACAAATCAACCTTATTATTATTATAGTGGCGAGTGTAGTGCCTACATTGAATTCCGCCTTATTAAAATATGGTTCCTCATGGAAAACAGATTCGAAAAACTGACTAAAATGTTCTGCCTTTCCGGGATTTCCAGTAATGCATTCGTTGTTTTCATCTTTCACCACTGCGACCGTTTCTGTATTTTTTAACCTACTATCGATGTAGCTAAGGTGTACTTTTGGCCAACTTCAAAACAACTCATTTTTGACATATTATTCACTAAGAACAAATAAAAACAAAGACCTTCAGTAAGCGGAAAGGATGGGTTTATTTTAAGCCTTTCCCATTATAAAGAGATGCACAGAATTCAACAAGAAGTACGTGAATATATCGTTTATTATTCGTGTGCACGGCTGGTCGGTCACTAATTTCGTGGTCCTTAGTGTCCGACAGAAAGCATGAAGGACGTTCACGAATGCATTATGAAATAACTTCCTCGCCTTTTGTTATTGATTTTGCAGTTGTAATATAACTATCACGCATGATCGCCTTCATCTAGCATAATTCATGCATGGATGTTTAAAAATGAATCCATTCAGTCGATGATGGAGTTTTACTTGGACACTTCTTTAAGTGAATTCTCCGAAGTAAAATAAATTTAAGTTTAAGATACGTATTTCTCTACAATTTTCTTGTTAGTTTTACTGCTGTTGAATATAATGTAGCACACGCATATGCAGTGTTTTAATCGATCAACACAATGACCTCAAAAAGGCCTAGCTAACTACTGGAGAGTGTTAGTTTGGACTGGGCAGAATGGAGCTCCAGATGTCCCGCCTGTTTGTAGTTATCACAATTCTGATCCTTTCCGATGCCCGCTACGTGGTGCAAGAGGAATTCCATAAGCGTAGTGGTGTGGATCCAGAAGTTTATCAGACTGCAGTAGGTCTCATACGTCTTATTTTAAGCTAAATCTTTTGAAATATTTGTCACTACGTATAGTTTTAAGAGAGTTTTGGCATTAAGCCACGTTTAGAATTTATTTTTTATTTTAATCTAATAGATTAACAGGTATTTTGTTTTAAATAATGTATGTACTTCTCTTTATAGCTACAATGTAGGGTTTTCCCTAATGTCAACGGTTTAGAAAGATTTTACAACCAATGATAAATCGTACAAATTTCGTACGAAAAATCGTTTCCCAAATTTCATTTGGACAGCGAGACGCCTACCTGTTGTAAAAAACCCCCATTCGTGCGATATATCGCTTAGTACTTTATTAAAGTCTTTTTTTGAGTACAGGATAACTTTATTGCATAAAAATATCTGTAAAAAAGTGTGTACAAAAGATTTGGCTTGGTTACTTGTTAATCCTCGTGCTATAATTAGCCTGTGGACGGGCCTGACTCCGGATGGATGGGTTTCTTCCTCGACTTGGTGTTCTGAAAAAGGAAGAGTACTGGATGAGAGTACGCAACTGAAGATATTATTTACGTGGCAATAGTATGGGCTTACTCACCGACAGAAGGTTTACCTTTGTCAGCCTTACTGCACCGTCTGAAATGCCTGTCGTAGGCCTTCTTGAACGTGTCCTTGAGGGCATCCTCCACACAGCGCTGATCTATTGGCCGGGATTCATTTGCAACTTTATAAGCCTCTGATAGAAGGAAAGTAAGAATAAGGTAGTAACCCTTACGCAGGATCACGATATACTCCTCCGTGTCGCGTAAGGCTTTCTCCCCCTGCTGCTCGCCCTTTAAAGAGAGCTCCTCTGTGATGCTGTCTGTCAGCAGGATCCGGAAAACCCAGTTAACGTAAGCTGGCACGTCATCGGTAGCTGGGGCTGCCAAGTGGGTACTACAGTAACTTAGCAACGCGTGATCGAGTCGTCTGTCAACCAGTCAACTTCTTAGAAGCAAGACAACGATAGGCAACGAAAAACAACAATGCAATCGAGTTAAAATTGAACGATTTTTGTTAGTAGGGATTTTACTCTTCGCTGCAATTAGGATTTTTAATAATTTTGGCTTCACTGATCGAAGGTGGTTTTGCAATATTTTGTACTCTTTTCCACTTTTTAGTATGACATAATTGAAAGCAAGGGTTATTCCGCTAAAAGTTACATCATTGTCACTCCCGACGATTACCTACTTACGGTACATCGCATCGGCCCGAAGAAGCCTGTGCTAGAAGGAAAACGAAACGTTGTTCTACTGCAGCACGGTCTCCTGGATTCTGCTCATACCTGGATCAACAATCTTGCAAATCAAAGCCTTGGTTTCGTCCTTGCTGACATGGGATACGATGTATGGCTTGGTAACAGCCGTGGAAGCACCTACTCACAATATCATAAAACGCTCGACGTGAGCAGCGAACAATTTTGGGAATTTTCCTGGGACGATATGGCAAACAATGATCTTCCTGCAACAATTGACTTTGTGCTTAATCAAACAGGCAGGGACAAGCTTTTTTACATTGGTCATTCACAGGTTAGTGGATCGTAACGTAATTTTCACATTTACCTTTGTTTTCATTAGGGCACTCAAATTGCGTTTGCCAAATTCAACTCTGATCCAGTCCTTCGTTCAAAAATTGCTGCAATGATTGCTTTGGCGCCTGTAGCCTATCTATCCCACGTCAAGAGCCCAATTCGTTTCATATTAACGGCTTGTAAGGGAATTGAATCGGTCGCTACCTGGTTTGGTCGTGGCCGATTCTTACCGTCTACTTCACTCATGCGGTTCCTCGGTCTCTTCCTCTGTCGTAGGCAGTCCATCCCCTTTGTGTGTAGCAACATTATCTATCTTCTAGCTGGTTATGATCCCCATAACACGAACACGGTAAGTCCTATTACTCTATTGTTTTTTTCGTTGCCATAAATGCTATATTTTTGGTAAATCCTATGACCTCGTAATGTGCTTTAATCGCTCCCATTTGTGGAAAAATGAGCGACTGTTCTCTTTATTGGTACGATACCTGCGGGTAAAGATAAAAACCGGCGAATGAGTTACAATAGTCTCTGTTCATTACACTAGATTTAGGCAAACTAAAGAACTTCCCTGAGCGCTCTTCTGGATACCGGAACACCTATTGGTGGGAACAGAGACTAAAGAGGGCCAAACATGGAATGAATGCATATCAAATCCTCTGAAATGCCGAACGTGTGTTTAAAGTTCGATTCAGGGAAATGGCGTGGGTTCTTTCAGGACTTTTATCTCTTCATCCTGTCCCTCAGAAATTCGCTTTTCATCGTTGTTGCCCCAGCTCTCTTCAAACTTTTCTTGGGTGCCTACCTTTAACAGTATACTTTCATTGCCATTACTTTCCCCATTTAAGCTCCAGATGAACTGAACTACCGTTTTGTCACAAAGTAGACTTCTTAGGGTTGCGCATCCTCTGTCCAAATTAAATTCTGTTTCCTGCAGCATTAGGGATATTTGGTGGTCACTAACATTTACCTATCTTTTCTTACTAGTCCTGTCTATCACGCTCCCTTTAGATGCCTCTGTGATGATAGATATTACATTAACAGCTGAGAATTATACAAGTGTGAAATATTCATAATAACTTTAGTGGACACTCAACGTTACCTGTTTTTCCCTGTCATTTCTGCTCTGCACTGGTTAATACCCTGTTTGTCCAGCTGTTTCTGTAGCACTTGAAATAACCAGAAAAGCTAACTACTTTATATCACTCATGGTGATGAGAACTCGTTTTGACAGTCTGTCTGCTGGCCTCCCACATTTGCATGCCTGCTCAATTATGCGGAGGGCAATTTGATAGGAAGGCAACTGTTTGTTTCTTGTGTCTGTCTTCAACAATCGTAACTTCACTTTCAAATTCTGCTTGTCCACTCATACAGCTTCACCGATCTCGTGTGAAGCACCGTTTAATAAAAAGCGTACGTTTTCAGTTACGATTCCGACAACACTAGCTTGCTTCTTCTGGTCGGTGTCACGGAAGTTATTTTGACCAGTAATGTACAGTAGACGCCGTTGATCATGCAATATTTTGACCTATGCGAAAGACTAATACCCTTTCGCTAATCTGAATTGACTCCAGTTGTGATACTGATTATTGTGTAGCCTATCGTGAAGTCATTTCAGTCAGGATAGGATGCCGGCTTTTTAACGAGCTTCGCTCCGACTCCTAGAAAAACTTATCTATTGTAAAAACTGACTACTTAGGTAGTATGCCTT